TATACTAATTTCGAGTGAATGTATTTAATGGTCGTTTTTCATTCAACATGAGTGGTTCTTTTTAATTTTTAACATTTTATCGTATGTTTTTCTCAAATTTTCAACAAGATCTGATTTCCTGTTTTCCGTGAGAAAAAAACGTTGTCACGGGATTAGGCAATATATTTAGGGCCGTGATATGGCGTAATTTGAAAATAAATTCAAATTTGTTCTTGAAGTCCCCTTACGTAAAACAAAATCGATTTTAGTACATTTAGGGCCATTCTTGTTTTCAAAAATACATTTTTGTTCTAGTTATTCTGTTCACGTTTTCATTTCATGCTTCAAGTTTCCTTTTGGGGCATTTGGGGCCTTGAAAAAGGCCGTCGAGGAAGCTAGGTTCCTGACATTGATGTTAGCGGCGGCCGAACTCCCTGTGGTCGATGAAGCCCTCCACTCCTCGTCTGAAGTCCCCGTACTCCCACCGGAGCTCCGCGCCAGCACTGACCCCCGTCTTGGTCACCATCCAGAACCTCGTCCGTTCCCCCCTCCTCCCCTTAACCCGGGTTAACTTACAGTTAGCGTTATCCCTAGAGTGGTTCATGGTTGCCCCCAAATTTGAATCAGGGTCAATACGATTACCCTGATGATTTCTATGGCCGTCCAAAACAAGTTCCTCATCACCATGAAACCCCTGAACGTGAAGAAACCGGTAAGTTAAATTTAGCCTGTCGTACTCATCCAACCTCCGATCAACGTCTGCCCTCGGAATCAGCTGGCCCAAGTACTCACACACCACCTCCTTCCTCCTATAATTCCGAGTGGCAAAAACCCCCTTCCCAATTTCTCCACCGACAGGTGCAACGATAGGTGCCGAAAACATATCCCCCCTCCTCTCCCTCTCCTGCACTGCTCTACGAGTATTGTGACCCCTCAAAGAATACCGCAAAGGTTCCCCCAAAACGTCCCTATCGCCCTCCCCTCCCTCCAAATTTCGACCTATCCTGACCTTCTTAACCTTATACCCACGGCGAGGAGATTCCACGTAAGCGAAGCCCACGTTGATGGCGACCGCCCGGAACTGGGTAGTGAAGGCTTGGCGTCTACCGGCGAGAGCTAGGAGTTGCTGGTCTTCAGTCCAGGCTGCCACTTTGGCCTTGTACTCCGTGAAGAGTTCCAAAGTTGGGATGACACTGTTGTCCGGGCTCGGAGCAAACAGGTTGGCAAACCTGGAGAGGAATGGACAGTCGCACTGTATATCCCGATCCACAGAGAGGCCGCGTCGAAGTAATCGATTTCCAGACATCGTTGGTGTTCTTGGAAATAAAGAGCATAATGACGCGGCACTGATGGCTCTCTCTTTTATAGTCCCGCTAAAACTACAATGATTGACAGGTACACGCGTAAGAAATTATGAACCCAGGTCGTCACTGATTGGCTCCCGCTAAAACTGTCATGATTGACAGGTACACGTGTAAGAAACATAAACCCAGATTGTCACTGATTGGCTGAACTTTGCAAAATTTGGCGCTTATTTGTCTCCTCGAAAAAAGCGTTTAATTGCATACATTAATCTGTTTTCAATAATGCTGTGATTTCATTTAAAAAAAATTAGTCCAATAAAAAATAAAATTTATTCCCGATGCTCAGTTTTGGAATGTGTAAATCCAAACATACCCATTCATAAAAATCATTAACGATGTTGTGTCATATTGATTTGAGATCCAACAAATTTTGTTGAATGACGAACTGTGTAAAGACTTTATGCCTTATCGCCGATTGTTCTTGAGAAATGCATAGATATGAATGATTTGCAAATGTTAAAAATGTGTTAAGTCAAGGTACAACCTTGTCACTGCTTGAAACATAAGAAGATCAAATTAAGATCAAGTGAACGTGCATGTGTGTTGTTGATCAACATAATTGATAACCCCTTCTCCCCATTCCCCCTAAACTTGGTCCAAACGTAGTGATATACTTAGCGAGTAGTTTCCCCAGGCAGTTCTCTAATATTTATATTTCTTGGAATACTGAATTCATCCCATACTAAATATTACATAGTGGGCCCCTTTTGTGTCAGTTAGATATTAATATTTATTGGGATGCAGGAGTTCTGTTACATAAATCAATAACCAAGTGACTCAATCGTTTGAGTCGGAATAAAAATAAGGGAACGAGACGGATCCAAGAAACAAATAATGCTTTGCTCTAGGCCTAATCAAGCTGCAGTCACTGTTTCCATTTTTCACACGATCAGGAATTGGCTGTGAGCCAAAACTGCCCGTCCAAAGTGACAGGCGTATTTGCGCGACACTGTGTATGGTTTGCGAACAGCAGTTTTCCCTTCCCATATATACAATGTTGTATACGTACAGTCTCCAAGTTACGCGTGAACAATATGGAGATGGGAGTTTGTTTATTTGTTGTTGTTGTTGTTTTTTGTTTAACGCCCCACTCAACAATATTCCAGCTATATGATGGCAGTCTGTAAATAATCGAGTCTGGACCAGACAATCCAGTGGTTGATATCATGAGCATCGATCCACGCATTTGGGATCCGGTGACATGCATCAACCAAGTCAGTGAGCCAGACCACCCGATCCCGTTAGTTGCCTCTTATGACAAGCATAGTCGCCTTTCTTGGGTTGCTGAAGACCTATTCTATCCCGGGTCTTCAAGAGGAGTGTAGTCACGCGCAGTAAGCTGTGAGTAAAAACATGGGCACTTTTAAAACTGAAATAAAGATTACAATATGGGTCTGTATGTCAGGCCGGGTTGTGCATAAAGAACAATTCTGTCGGGTGAATCAACTCCCAGGAATTAATCAGCACCTGGTGTATAAATATCACACTATTGCACATGGCATTGTTATCATTTGCATTCTGCTTGTTAGGGCAAAATCGGAAAGCAAACTCATAAAGACAAAGGAAGATTTCCATGACAAAGCTCACAAGGGAACGTGTTGCGAGTTACGAGCCCCAAACACAGCCATGAACTTGCATAGGCAACACTGTTTCAAAGTTATGTCTGATACTTCCTATACGTCGCGCCTTTGAAAGTCATGATATTGCCGAATTATTCTGATGTGACTTAAAATCGTAACTTATTCATTCATTCTATACGTCTGATATCTTATAATAGGGTTCTCTCTATAAGGAATGAGATCGGAGATAAACAGTTGTTATTTCAATTAAAAAATGACACGTATTTAATTTATTTTTTGATTTAGGGAGTTTGTAACTGTGGTAAATAGTTTGCTTCATCCATTGTCACTTTAAACAGTAAAACATGTCACTATTAATTTCGGAGAGAAACTGTAGTCTCTGTGAATTTGATTGGAGGAATGACTGAAGCACGAAGATGAATCATTTAATTATTGAATATTAATATAACTGGTGACTGGAGAAATACATGCATGTCTTAGAAGTTAGTGGCATCCTATATACAGTGAAACAGCGTACTTATTTACATCTGGATAAGATGACTCGGAGAGTGACACAGTCTAAATGAAAACAGGAAATGTTTTGACGAATCCTCTATTAGACGCCCGCTTGCAATACACACGGGGTAGGACAGTTGTAGGGTGTTTGTAAACTTGATTGTAGCCGCCTAAGATCGATTGTAACTAAGAATGTTCTATGAAAGTGGGCGGCCCTGGTCGGTAATACTGTGATATGTTGGTGATATATAATGACCGTTTCCTACAGATGTATGTTTGTATGACTAGAATTTGGGATTCGGTGGGGTAGTGAATTGCTTGCATGAACGTAATTGACGCTTGGCGTCTAGTAGAGGAAATACGGTATAGGGCTGACGGTCGTTTGGGTACATTGTGATTGTGTGTGGTTTAGTTTTGCACATTCTGGATTATCCAGGGTATTGTCTACACATAGTTTCGTTAAATACGCGGAAACGTGCAAGCTGTTAGCTTTAACTAGGAAATGAGTCCCCGATAAAAAATACAATTAGTGAGTATTGTTTTACTCTGCTTTTAGCAATACTCCAGCAACTTTCATGGTGGGCTTTACACATTGTACCCATATCGGGAATTGAACCCGGGTCTTCAGCGTGACGAGCGATCACTTTAGCCACTAGGCAACCCGCCACTCCTCTACAATATACCAACATTACAATCTTAATAGAGTTGTTAGCATAAAATGTTTTTCACAAACTGGTGAAGTTATATACATGTCGCGCGGCAAAGGGAGGATGTCTTATTGAATATCTAGGATATATTCCCTGATATAGGTAATACTCCAGTTTATTGATGGCATACTTATGACGATTTTTGCAGTATTTGATTGATCATTTTTTAGTAGATTGAATTTACTGTAAAAAAAATAAATTTCATATTCCCCGTAATTTCAAACACATTTTGACCATAGAAGTTAATATTGTCTGGTATAATAAGGTCCTTATTAAAGGTGTTTAGTTGACTAATTAATCATGGGACTTTAAAGTTTCGTCAAACCTGTGTATTTTGAAACAGGTCCGAAGTTACATTCTTCCTGAAGTTGAGGAGAGTTGATTTTTTCCTCATCGTTGAAATGGTGCCGCCTTTAAACGGCAACTTTATGCCACAAAGTGAACATATACACCTTTAAATTTGTCCTCAGACACCCGATCCAGGAAATATTACCTACTATTAGCACAGATTTGTTAGCAACTGTGAGCTGCTACTAGTAGGTACAAAGACGGTCTCTATGTCTCTGACGACTAACATTTACTGCTACTACTAGATACAGCAAAGTATAGCATGTCTTTGATTTGTATTGGTCAACGAGTCAACTAGAGGGTATGCAAGCCGGGCTCTGTCTCAACTGAAAAATAAAAGATTACGGCAGAGCAACCTCATCCTGTAACCATCTTGCTAGCACGTGAACTTTCTTTTGCTAAGATGTAGAAATAATACTTGAAATATACTGTGGTTGTTAAATGATTACAAATAGAATCTACAATATCATGAAGAAAATTATAACCATTGATCATTACATCACCAGCTGGTCATGCATCATATTCCGCCATGTTGTGTAAGGTCACGACATTTCTACCACTCAACCTAGGCGTAGTTTAGGCAAGTTAATTGTGTCCGTTCTCTACATTTAGCACAACAGACGTGAGTGTTTTCATTACAATAAATACTCTTGAATATTTCTGCCATTGCCAGAAATGGGAACGTAATGTCGTGCATGTTTTCTTCTGGCAGCCTTGCATTCTTTGCGTCCCTAGACACAACGTCGACGTGCACAAGCAAGGTCGCGCATCATAAATGCCGCTTATTCTAAAAAAAGAGTGCTTTACCGTTACAGTATGGCCACCTACCTATTGTATATTGTGTTGTACTTGTTGCCTGCTGTCAAGCGCCCATGTTTTGAGATCAATCACTTGCGTCCATGTTTTGAGATCAATTACTTGCGTCCAAAGACGATTGGGTCACGTTCCTTTTCATAGCCTAGTGGTTAAAGCGTTCGCTCGTCACGCCGAAGACCCGGGTTCGAATCCCGACATGGGTACAATGTGTGAAGCCCATTTCTGGTGTCCCCCGCCGTGATATTGCTGGAATATTGCTAAAAGCGGCGTAAAACCAAACTCACTCACTCACTTTAGTCCAACTAGTAGGAATTACTAATTATCAGTGCTTACATACATACCATTTTATATCGTATTTTTTTTACATTTCAGCAGTATGCATCGGAGGCAGAAAATTTATTCAAGCTCTGAAGTCCCAAACAACTGAAAATGTTCTAAAACACCATCACGTGACCCTGGTATTTTCAAAGTGCTGGTGAAAGTGATTGTTTTGTAAATGTTTGTTGATAGTAGAGAGGCTGATAAACTTTAAAACAAGTCATGATCACCTTTTCCCTACTGCTAGTTAAATACACTGGTCTACATCTGTATTGTTTCTTTGCAACTTCTGTCAACAAAATCAAATTTATCCATTTATACCTGAATAATTGTGTTGTCATAAGATTATAACTAGGCCTACAGCATCTAACCAACTGTTATACTCTGGTAACTGAATGTCAGAAGAAAAAATACCTTTTTATTGATGAATATATCTCCACAGTTGAGTGCAGGGTGTAATATTTAAATGTTTTTATTGACAGTTTAGCAGACACTACATCTGTCTATGAGCAATGAACAGAATCATGAACAGTAGTGAACACCTCTGGCAACATCATGTTTTAGTAAGTATAATTGAATCCCCCAATTATAATGTAATTGTTCACACATTGTATGGCATAGTGTAATTTCCAAATAGTGATCTGTTTGACAGTGTCATATATATTATATATTTTCCTATTCACCTTGTCGACTGGCCTGGATTAGGTCTTGCCATTTTCCTGTTATTTCTGATTATTCCAAAATTAGATTGACTGTACAGTAACAGCACAGTTTAATTATATTAGGACTAAGAGCAAATGTGCTTAATTCTCAGTGTTTTAGTCAATTTGTGTTGTACCCAAATAGAGGGAATATTGTTACTGTAGTCCACATGATCATGGGCACCACTTCAGCATGTTTAGTTATACAAATTTACCCGTGAAGATCGGGGTTAGAATAGGTCTTCAGCAAGCCATGCTTGTTGTAAGAAGCGACTATCCTTGTCATAAGAGGCGACTAAAGTGATTGAGGGGTCAGGCTGACAGACTTTGTTGATGCATGTCATTGTATCCCAATTGCATGGATTGATGCTCATGATGGTCAATCACTGGATTGCCAGGTCCAGATTTGATTATTTACATGCAGCTGTCAAAGCAGGAATATTGCTGTGAACATCATTTCAGGTTATGTATGTTTGTAAAAAGTGCTAGAAAGAGTCAACTTTAGTTGTAAAATCAGTATGTTCCTCGCAACAGAGCTAAATGTGCATTTTAACAAAATATTAATTGATGTGAGATTTCATGATGAATTTGATTTTTAATCTAAAAAATATTATCTTGTTTCTCTAATCATGCTGTTAAAATCATGTTTTACGTATTTATCTACTTCCTATGGACTTCCTAATCCAATTGAATAGTAATGCCCAATATGTTTTTATTATAACAGATAACAGATTGCTATAGACTAATAAGGCAACTGCTAGATTATATTCTAACTCTTTACATGATGATGGGACTCACAAGACTTCACTGTATACCACAGTACCCACTGAAGTATCAACGTCTTTACGTATGCCGTTATTTTAACAACAAAATAAATTATTCAATTGATTTGCAAATATCAAACTATTTCATTTCGGAATTCAAGTAGCAAGCAGTAGCCTGTTGTCTGGTACTTTAAGGTATACTATAATGCATGTACTAATTCGTACTGTAAAGTAAACATATAACATGTTTTGCTTGAGCAATTCTTCCTGAAAAGCCCCCCTAGTTTGAAACGCAAGTCTAGTAACATTGTGTTCGATGTAGTTAGCCCAATTATTAATAATCAATATGACAACACTAAAATCTAATGGAAATGATTTTGATAGTCCTGATCGGGTTAGTTAACCCAAAGGTTTTTGTCACAGTCTGCTCATGTAACTCAATTTATGATGACAGTGTTACATGAGGTTCTATTTTGTGTATTTCGATAATTTGCACATTTATGAACAGCATTAGAAATTGGCACTTGTCCTGTAATCCTTGCCAAACTGCCCAATAGTTAAGGTAGCATAACGACTAGTAGAAATGTGACACTTTAATGGGTTTGCTATATGTTATCATTATAAAGACTCGTGGATTAAAACTCTTAGTTTCTACCGCTGATGACCTTTAACCTTAATGTAAACCTTGATTCCAGTGATGCTTTAGTTTTACATTCTTTAATAACCTTAAGCTGTCATTTTTTGTGTGGTCCCAGGAATAAAGTCACCAGAAATGCATTCAAAGTTATGATCTGATTTTGAGCATGACCAACATGGCAGATATGTTTAAAATTAAATTTTCTGCCACTACTCAGACATGCAAGTTATTGTACAATAAGTCGTTTGTAGTGTAAAAACATGTAGACTCTTTTGTTTGCATATTTAGCTATTCCAGAACTGTTATATGCTATTAAATTGCTGGAGAAGGTATTTATTTCAATCGATAATGTCATTATGGTATACCAGTGTGTATGACAGTTGTTTTCAAATTCATCAATATCTTCAAATATGATCTATTGTATCCAGTGACTGACATGTAAGAAACTCAAAGGAGGAAGTTAGGCAGCACCCAATCAGAGAGTGTACCATTGGACCCATGTGATCAAAGGGGTTCCAATTCAACACATTGCTCTTACGTATGATGGTCACTGTCCAAATGTTTTCACGGGTCTTTGTGGTTGAAAACCAACTCATCCCGATAACAGGTTTCCGATTATATTGCCCATTCACTTACACAAGATACACAATTTTGAGTAATAAACAGTTGAATGTAGAAATCTGTTTATGTTGACAGGAAGAGAATAATCATTATCTTAGGGTTATGTTAATTATCTTTAAGGACTTGTTGATAAATGAGAAATATGGGCAACAAATTCTGTCATTGTCATTGTAGTATTTTGTCCATACTGTTACTTTAACACTACATAAATAGCCATAATCACATTTAATTACAGGGATCGATTTCGCTACATACAAGCTGCACCAGTGCAGGTAAAAACATTGCTGCTGCGGTAACTTTTAGGTGATGTCAGGTTGCATCGAGTGCAGGTAACATTTCCCACCTAAAGTGGAAAACGGAATTCTTTTAGCTGAAGGTCTTTTTGAATCCAGGAAACAAAGGGGGTCCAAATTCACCTGTAAATGATTGAACACATGAATAATTGACATGAAATTTAAATTACAACATAAAATAGAATGGTCATGTGTGTAAAATACATGCTATGTTCAATAGCCACTATCAAATTTATCTTGAGACAGTCTAGGCCAACACCAATCACTATTCTGGAAACAGTCCTGTCCAGGTGGTCAAAAATAACTTAGCTACAGATATAACGACACAAAACATTGACTAATGTTGGTATATTTTAACCAAGTTCAGTCTGTAGATGTGTTATGTGTTATGTGCCTTTAAGTGAGCTAATGTTAGTGTGCATCAACCTTTCATCGTTAAAACCTTTTACTTTTCTGACAGTCCAGCAGTGGTGTCTCTAGGTTAATGGTGACACTTCAGGTAAAATAAATGGGTCCCATAAATTTAATGACTTCCCACACAAACATATTTTTAGGTCATCGGAAATATTAAATCAACAAATCTGCTCTGAAATTTTGCAAGTTAATCCTGTTGTAAGGATTAGCTTGAATAATTCAGCACAGATGGTCATGAACAGTGTTCATTGTATACATCTAGACTTTGGACATATGTTTGCAATCTATTTGATTAGGTTAGTCACATTTTCACATTATTAATCTTACCTGGTCGAGTTTTATAGTGGTAACCATATTATCTTGTGATCATCATTAAACCTGATCACCACTGCCTGATCACATATTTTACAGAATCAGATATTAGATGTGTGTGTATAGCAATTGTTAGTATGCTTTCACTAACTGTTGTTAGTACAGTGTATCAATGAGCTGAGAAATGTGTGAATGTGAGGTTTGAGATGAAATGCAAATTTTACAGTATTTTAATGTCCAGTTTCGAGATCTGGGGTGAATGTCAATCTACATTCATGAGTTATCTGTTGTGAACACCTCCTCAGAAACTACTGGACCATTGAAGCTGAAACTTCGCATTTGTTGATCACATCAGAATTTGTTCAAGACTTTCAAATCCAAACTCCAGTATGATCTTTGCACTAAAACTAAACTGTCAGCTGAAACATCTTATTGCCATTATTCAGTCAGTTATGTACAAATTCTAATGAAATTTGATATGTGTTATATTGTACTGGGATTAAAAAAATATTTGTTTTTTTCTTAATTTATAATTTTGACCTTGGTTTGACCATGTTATGTAAATTTCTCTAAATTTGCCAGACTGAGGGAGATGAACTTGTGTCCTCAAGATGACAGCATGTTTTGTTCAGATATTTAGATTTTAGTGTTTTCAGTCCTCAGTATTTATACAGAAAATATATATGCAGGGTAGCAATGATATTCTCTGTTTAGTAGTTGTGTTTTTTTACATTAAAAAGTGTTGACTACATGTCCAGCTGAGCTACAGTGTCGTTGCACTATTTTTAACCCTGCTATGGGCTATCATTACCAAATGTATTCACCTTTCCTTTGCAAACATTGTAGCCTTACAGCTAAGAAGATTACCTTATAAAATATTAATCTGTATGTTTTAAGAAAATTATACATTTAACTTGTTCAGTTGTTGTTTTTTATGGTTTCAGATATCCGCTTTAATGATGTCATGAACTGGACGCTGCACTCTTGATTCCAGCACTAATATTGTCATGACCAAATGTTAAAGTTCATATTCAGCAAGTTGAAGATAACTGACACCGTCTTTAAGTATAAGTTTCACAAGTATGGTTAGCAGAAGTTCTTTTTGTTTTCAATACTGATTTATATATAGTATGAAAAAAAATGGATTTCTGTAATAGAATAAAATGTTGGAATACATGTGACACCAGTTGTGTTTCTGTCACCATAGTGTTACCATCTGTTATATGGGTGTACAATCATAATCTGTGGCATGGATTGCCAGGATTGTAGTTGAAGCTATATCATGGTGGCTGGTAAATATGGTGTGGGCAAAGCAAATCAGTGGCTGACAAGATGAGCAAAACCCATGGCACTGGGCACATTAACACAACCAGCCATTTAACATCATGTCGCTCCGTGATGAATACATGAACACATTCATGCCTACATAATACTGTTTACCCTTTGTCATAATCAACTACAAACAAAATTCATCATTTTGCTTGTTCTTTATTATTGAGAATACAATAAACATAAATGCCTTAAAATGCTGAAAACAGTGTAAGTGAAGAAATTCCATGCACAGTGCATTTGTAAGATGCTAAATTCACCATATATGACCATTGATATTATGAATTAAAGAAACACACCTCACATTTTGAAACACTATATGATATACATCATATGTTTAGATGTACTGTCCATGAGTATAGGGAGAAACACTGTCCCTCCACACAGTGATGCTGAAGTGATGCTACTACCTGCTGAACTATTCACCACTCAGGATGTCATTGCTTACTTCAACACAGAACTCTTCTTATCAACACTGCTTCTTTCAAGAAGTACAGGGCATGGTTGCTCTCCCTTCTCAAAGCACATTGTTTTGGGAGCTGTATAGTTTAGTGTTGGTGTTGTATTATTGCAGAAAACTGACACCATCAAGTTTCATTACAGCATGGGAATTGCCCTGAAAAGGTTGAAAATATTCATATAAGTGATGTCATCTAATGTAACTTAATAACTTACGATTTAACTTCAATATAAATAAATCCACGTAGTAACCATATTTTAACATTTATACCTACATTAATGTAAAATTATATTGGAGTCAATTGTTTTGAATAAATATGTCAATATTAACAACTTCATAGACTCCTTAATTAATTACTAACATGAAAAACCCAGAAGACAACAATAGAAAATCAGTGACATTGTTAAACAGAATATAATTGTAGGTTCATGGCAACATCAAGTTATGTTCTATTGAAAATGCCTGTAAAGATGTTATAGTTTAATATCATGTTGTCTCATTTAAATTCAAAACTTAATGGAAAGCTATAATTTGTAGTTATCTCAACTGGCAAGGGATTTTTTCTCACGCCAGTTAAATGTGCCCAGGATACAACATTAAGATGGTGTCAGTACTACAAATATTTTCTTGAACAAAATTAAAATATGTTATGATAAATTGGGTACTTTTTGTGACATTCTGAAACTGATTTTGTGGTAAAAGATTGCTGGATTCCGTTCACACAATTAGTTGTGAACAAATGTACCCAGACACATAATTTGAATCTGAATATTCGCGTGAAGCAAAATGTGATAACAGATGATTATTTGATCTTATTTTGTTATTTTCAAAGTATGTAAGTGTACGGTTCTTAAAATACAACCAAATCTCCAACATTTTCTGTGGGAGGTGACTGATATTGGAAGACATGAATTGGAAAAAAATATATACTTCAAGAAAAACCTGCCATACAAAATTTATACACAGTGTACTGACTCCAAGCAGACCATTCTTCCTTTTAGCCCCTAAAAGCGAGAGCAAGACAGGGTAACAACAAGTACCATCTTTTAGGAATGACGTTTCAAGGGATCGAACCTCCAACCTTCTGCTCTCCGGGCAGACACTCTACCACCACACCATGGAGGCAGTCAGTGAGACATGGAATTTAATGCATTTCAATGAGTTAAAGTAACTAAGTTGACAATCCATCAGTTTATTGTTATTTTCCGAGAACTAACATTAAACAGTTCGTTTCTTATGTTCACCATTTTGTTACTTTTGTTTGTTAGTGTAGAAAATTCTGGACTGGAAACATTTTATCTGGTCAGGGGGTCAGCCTTCCATTTGTACAATTTTGAATTTTCGGACCTGGTGAGCTAATAAATGTGTCAGGATAACAAACACCAGACAAGCAGGCCATGTTCTTTGCATTCAAAAAGTATTTTGTTTAATTTTGTATAACCAGTTTGTTTAAAGACATACAGACATGAAGCTACGTTTCGAGGCGATCAATGTTACCTTTGTTGGGTGCAACTGGACCAAACGAGTTATTTGCACCAGGCTTCTTGTAACTGGACAGTGGAACCTGTGAACATGGTATACGAAGAATGAAAATCTTCATAAGAACAAACACAACACATGACACCACAGAACTGAATGTACAAACTGTAAAATAAAACACTGGGACAACCACATAACTTGATCCGAGTCCCATTGTGGTGCTACATATGCCAGGTGTCATTAAGTTTTAGTTTCCTTGGTTTCTGAGAAGAAAGTTCTTAAAGATGAACAAATCAAAATCGGAAGCTACAAAGATACCTCTGCAAATGAAGGTTAAAAGTGTAGTAAACATCCATCAACTTCTTCATGACAACATTGATAAGGCAATCTAGGGTAAACAGAAATATGCCTCACTACCAACCGTTTGAATGGGCCTGAAACTGATCAGAATTTATTTTTAGGGAATTAAATACTGGTAAAGGTCATCATAAATGGGTAAACAAGATTATGCAGAAATAAGTAACAAATGTTCAGATACACCAAGTGATATGAATATTTACTAATGATAGACAAATGAGGTAAAATGAGTGAATTGTTTCTGTCCACTTAAAATAATGGTGCTTGGTCCAGGCAGGCAAGAGGTTGATAGCACTAACAACTATCCATGTAATTGGGGTGTAATGTCACCAAATCAGCCAGGTCACACAAAACTGACATTCCATATGATTGCCCTTTGGGAATGTTAAGAATCAAATTCTGTGAGTAGGTATGTTTTTGAGACTCAATTACTGGGATCCTGTCTGCAACAATCCAAACAGTGTTAGAATACCTGTAATCTAGATACAAGGGTGCATACAAAGGGTATGACCATGCAATGATAAAAAAGATGAAAAAGTCTGTAAAAAAACTATTGTATGGAATGAGATGTCGTAACAATTGCCTCAATGACAACCATTTTTTGTTTCATGTTTATAAAGTGAATCTGAAATCTGAAAAGAACAGTAGCTTTTATCTAGATCTATTTTATACCATTGTTGGAGTGCATGATAACACACATATATAACCAATCATAGCTTCACTTCCAAAAAGATTCATAGGAAACATTGCAAGTACAAGGTTATTACACTTACTGGTACATTTCATTATTAGGACACAAAAAGATGAAAGATGATTGCATGACCAAATGAAACATATGATTGAAACATAGCACATTGGAGATTGCAACATAGTATTACAGCCCAGGCCTCAAAGTTGCGACTAAAACGGTGGCCAATGCGACCTAAATTTCAGTTTGTCTACTGTCTAAAATTCAGTGGTAGCCAAATGACTACCTTCAAAAATATCTCGTGGTGACTAAATTCTATTGCTACATATATGTAGACACAAAAATAAACGTGTCTGCTACTGATTGTACTTGAAAATAATTCCTCCTAAAGTCAACAATGAACCGAAATGCATAAATATTAATGGAATTAGTATTTTATTTTAGTTGATAGTTTATTGGATAAGCAAGGATGTACCTACATAATCTAGTAACATAAATTGCATGATTGTTTGAAAAATAACAAAACTCAAGTACAGCATGTACAGTTACCACTTATATACAATTCCAAGACTAGTGCTTTAACTTGTACATATAATAGTTATTTGATAAAAGATAATTTCAAATGTTTTTGGCTTCCTACAATATTGGATTGACTTCTTGATTTCACCACTGGCTACCTTGAAAAAAATACTTGTAGCCATAAAAAAATAAACTTTGAGGCCTGGAGCCTGTTAAATGAATAACACCATGCTCCATGAGTACCTGGCCAAAATAACATTCAAAGTGGCTGCAATGTCGTCACCTCATATAATCACAGTATACCAGATTCAACCTAATTGAGGCTAGATGTGCCCATTGTATTGGTGCCATTAAACTGACTCATGTAACAGAGCTCCAGATAACTTTTTGAGCAATTGAGTTTTTACTCTAGGGTTTCTATTTTAATTGGGTTATCACATTTTTCATTGGGCAACCAATATGTTTTCGCTCATCTATTCATCACTCTACTGGGTCTTTCCCAACATTAGTGAACCTTTTAAGATTTCAAAAAAATGAAAAAAGGTTCTAAATACATAGGATTGACTCGGAAGGTAAATTAGCTCGTAATTGTGTTTCGGAAATTAGGTCCTTCGTATGTATGCTGAAAAAGCTTCATTGGGTATTTATGCGAGCTGTTTTTATGCATTTGAGTTTTTCATTTAATGCATGCATTTCTGTACACAAGTTAATTGAAAGTAATTGGGTTTTAAATATTTTTGGGGGTTATTTTGCACAAATACGCTGCTTATCTGTAGCTCTCATGTAATAATTTTTCCCTTTAATACCTTTTGGCTGTCACCTCACACGACAGAAATACTGTTCGAACAAACTATAGTTGTTAAAATGGCTCTGTAGCTCCCCTGAAATTTTTCTGGAATGTATTATTACATCAAAAAGGCAATACAAGGGTATAAAAAATAAGCAAAATAAACAAAACAATGTATCTACACAACAGACTTTCTCTCAGCATCTTGACCAATTAAAAGGATGACAATATATGCAAGGAGACAAATTCACCTTTATCCCCTAAATATTAAATACTTGCCATGGAAACTAAATATTTGTTTAACAAATCCAAAATTATCAAAAGGCATCAGTTCAACACTAGACCTATCTTTGTGTCACGTTTGTTAAGGAACTATTGTGAGTTTTTCTTTAATCTGCCCAGAAAGGAGCACTACTCTCATTTTCAGAGTCAAAGTTGTGGCATCTCAAAAAATTAATTTCTAAAAATCCTAAACTATCAAAAGGCACCAGACCAATCTGTGTGTCAAGTTTGGTGAAGAAATATTGCACGTTTTCAAGGTCTGTTCAAAGAACGAACACTACCTTCCTTATTGAGTCAAAGGCAAAGTTGTTGCCATGGAAGCTAAAACGATTCATTTTACAAAAATCAAAAACTACCAACAGGCCCAAGGTCACCACTAGGCCTATCCATGTACCAAGATTGGTGGAGAAAATAGTAAATGTTTTTCAAAATCTTACACAGAAGGATGAATGCAAGGACTGACCGCATCCATTCTAATACCCCCGCAAAACATGGTGTGGGGGATAATAATTAGCAATGAGTCAAAATAACACATTGATCATCACTGCTGCAGCAGCACATGAAGACAAAATATTGCAGTTTCCAAATATAAGAATAACTTGCAAAATATGACACTGTTATTGGGTTACCAAATAATTACTGAATGTCAAATTTCATAATGTAAATGCAAAAGTGGCTTTCTAAAGGGTGAAAAGTATATATTCAATATGGTTGCCATGTCTAGACAGCTTTAAGTTGTATTGGCATCATGTAAGTGGGATCAAATACACAAAATTTCATCTTATTGAAAGCATGGTTTTCAGAAAAGATATTGAAAACATAGACAAACTTCATAAAACGATGTATGTGAAAGTTAAAGGCCATAGAAGGCACAGGTGATACAGGCATCCAAGAAGCCACCTCAATTTGCTGGGCGGAGTTGCATCCCAGTCTGTCTCACAGTCCTTGAACTATTATTTTCCCTTCTGCCCAGCCCATCTCACTGGGTCTACTTTTACATTAAAATGTAGTTATTTGTGTCTATCAATATAATACATTTTCAGAGACTAAGCTGCATCCCCTTTATATGGCAGTAATCTATGACAATGGGTTGAAATCCCAGAATTGCCCTGATTACTTTCCTTGGTTTGTCAGCACCATTTCCACGCTCGTGGGTTTCAGCAAGTGGTAAAATCTCAGATGTTTCCCCAAATCAAGACAACAATGCACCAAAAATGTAAACCCCATAACACATATCAAGTTCCATAATGTCACATCAGAAATGGCTGTGTAATACGCAAAAGTGATATTTTGTAAATGACCTCAAGTTTTAGAAATATCATTACAGTCATTTTGATTACTGTTTACCAACTCACTCCTCATAACTTAATAAATGGCCTAAAGGATCAGTAAAGTAATACTTTCAAAAGTTGCCATAATCAGGTCAGCGAGTTTGCAAAGTGAATGGTTGAGTTGGTTTAATGCAACTTAGAACAGTGTTTCAGTAATATCACAGTGTGTCAGCTGATGATCCAGTGAGGAAAGACTGATATAATCAGGTACCAAAATATTCCAAATGTGGTATTTCATATGATGACATCCATGATTTAAATTGATGTACGATGATTCCTCTTTTGTTATCCCTGAGTTTATCATGGTGGCACTGCGTAAAGATAAATGTTCACAGCACCTGTGCTTAGCTTGTGCTAAATCTTTACAACAGTAAATTAGCCTTTGTATAACAATGAAGCCAGCATACATTAATGTAATTCCCAACATGTATAGGGATAGAATACAACATACCTGATTGGCTAACAAGGGTTGCAACTCAGATGTCCTGAATGTGGCAGGACATGGCCCACCTGGATACCCTGGGAAAAAAATATATGTAAATTGGTACTGACATTTTGACATATTACAGGGTTGCAAAGGGAGGTAATCAATGATTACAATATTGAATAAGATACTTTAAATTTGTCGGATGCTCTATGATCTTTATGATCCTTCACTAATCTCATATGTCTACATATTCCCTCAATGTTAATCATAACAACAACAACTACAATAACAACAACAACAACAACAACAAACAAATAAGAGGGCCTGTAGTGAATCAGTGAGTGGGCCTTATCTCACACAATGGAGTGAACACCCGAAATGGACCTCACTTTGAACCAAGAACACAGACCTTTCAGCAAAACAAGTTAACACTAATAATCTGGATGAGATTAGATGTTTCCCTGGTGATATGTATAGTCCTGCACACATACCAGGCCTACAGACATGGAATACAAACACGCGTCATGGGCAGGCTCAGCGGCCCGTTGACGTTCTCCATCTCAGTATCTGACAATATAAAGAAAGAACCATAGTGAATGGTTGTAGACTGTAAATTATGTGTGCACAAAGACTAGATAACATTATGACCAATGAGCAAGTACATGTAAGTACATATAAACAAAAGCAAGATCTAACCGATAAATGTTTGATCGAAAACCGATCGCCATGGCGGTCAAGGGTGATAACTCTTTCTGACCACGTCGAGGCCATTTGCCAAAGACAATTAAAGGGGCACTGATCTAAAGTAATTCCCCGGGACTGGTTGTTGCTTCTGTTATTGTTTTCCCCCCGTGAGTACCCGGATGATATGGCAGAAATCTAGACTAGGTCGCGACCTGTGCTGCACAATTCGTAAGCGCATTTGTCACTTTAATCGATAGTATAAGGGCGTATGGTCACATTGATCAACAAAATGAAATACAGTTTTGGAAATAATAAGGAAATGTAGGTATTTTTGTGGGTACCATCAGTAATGGAGTCACATGCTGGGTAATTCTGTTTACAACACAAGGTAAATAGTTCACCTGAGCATTGATTATTTTATCCTGTTTATATTTTTACAGACAAAATGTGCAAACTTAAATGACAGAATATTCAGTTATTTTACAAATAGACTGAAAATATGTCCATCTGTATTATTATGATAACAAATTCCAAAATTTTTATGTTTAATATCATCACCAAGTAACTGAAAATGTTAGGATTAAATGTACATTTGTATATTGTTTGGGTTCTAATCCTAGCATAATAAATCAATTGTGATGATTTTGAGCGTCTTAATAATTTTTAGTCAATCTGTTAAATATATGGACAGATTTTTCAGTCAATTTGTGAAATGACTGAAATATTTAAACATTTTATAAATTGCCTCATTGAATCACATTTTACACATTGACTGCAACATATACACGCTTACAAAGGAAAAGACTTATGAAAACAACGTCTATCGCGCATCGAGGAACTATGAAAACAAAATGCAAATATCATAATTACAACCTACCAAAGTTACATGGTCGATTTTAGGCAGCTTCCTTGTTCGAGGAATGTACTCGTGAATATCCACAAAAAGGAACAATATCCCATACATCTGCAGCTGTACAAAGGAACTTATTCGATGTCACGTGTCTCTGTAACAATCAAATATTTCAAAATATCGTTTCGAGATATTATATACCTGTTCGTTTCTCAACTGATCACTTAGTTTGTTTCAGTTGTTTCACATAGGTGTCAAGTCTCAAAGGTCAACTGAAAAAGCCCACGTGACAACTATTTTCATGATGTCCACGGTTCTTAAAAAAAATTCCATTGAGTTAGATAACAATGAGATCAATCACCGTATTATGGGTTAACCCTTTGAACAAAGTATGTTCTTACATTGGCACTTCACGCCATGATACGAGTGTATTCCCTTTGCTTTAGTAAACCTACACATGTAAACACTGACTTGAAAAATCCACTGTGCAAGATAACAGTGATTAATTAATCAACATATTTTCTGTTGATCCTTTGATGGCCAGGAATGATCCGTTAATTTATAAAAAAGTAAATCAACTGATCATTCATCTCTTGCTGGGCTGCCACGTGTATATTACATAATACACATTTCACCTCACTTCAAACTTGGATTTAGATTGAATAATTACCCCAGACACAAGAAATGCCAAATGGGAAACGTTTATTAGGTAATCTGAGTAGTGACACCACTTATTATACCTGTAATAAATTCATTAACTGATCATCAAGTGAATGATGACAAATACACAAGTGTAGGGTTATACCAGAAAACATGGATGACAACAAGGGAATAGTAATCATCGAAGCAATCCGAAACCTTTTTTCAATGCAGGGATGCTTTTATATTATTAAACTATACCCATCAGGGTTTTTTCAAAATGATGACATCCGATGAGCTTCGTCGTTCATTTTGTCTGTTTGTTTAGGCTGAAGAAATTAATTAACATGCGCCCTTTGTCGAAATCTTTATAGATCAGGGTTAATCAGGTAGCTGTCCTTGCTGACTGTATCCCATGTGTGCATGAAAACCTTAACGATCTTCTTCTTTAGGACCGGATAACTATATCTATATTGGTTGTTTGTACATTAGGTGATGTATAAAATACATACTATATGAAGATACTAAGCTAGCCTGTCTAGACCGGAGATAAAAAACACCAACAAAATGATGACAGACATCCTACCATCTGCTTAGTGCTCTGTCGGACACTGCATGTTCCAGTATGGCGTGCAATGCACCCCTGTGAACATACCTCCTAGTATGGTTATACTATTTAATTGTTACTGTTAGCTAGTAGTAGCAGTAAATGTAAGTCTCCAGAGACGGAGAGACCGTCTTTGTACCTACTAGCAGCAGTTCACAGTTGCTTACAATCTGTGCTAGTAGTAGGTAATATTTCCTGAATCGGTCGCCTCAGACACATTAACATTCATCCATACGTGACGTCGCCTCAGACACGTTAACATTCATCCATACGTGACGTCGCCTCAGACACATTAACATTCATCCATACGTGACGTCGCCTCAGACACGTTAACATTCATCCATACGTGACGTCGCCTCAGACACGGTAACATTCATCCATACGTGACGTTGTCCCTCAAAAGCGAAAACTCACGTGCGCCGAGTACTAGAGGTACGAGTACTAGAGGACTACTTGAGTAATGGATCTACCCGAATCTTACAGTACCCGGGTACCCTTTTCAAACCTATGTATAAATACGCTTGGGAATAGTTTGATAAAGTAATAACTTTGATACTTTTAAATCTTCGCAGAATTTCTGCTTCATAAAATGTATGACGGGCGTATTTATACAAAGTTCAATACCTGGTATAAACATATTTTAATATTATTGACTAGGTCCAAATGTGCAACACATACTTTTCCTTAGAATGATAATAGAGATCCCAGAAACTGAACTACTAAATTATCTTTGTAGATGGTGACCCATAGGTATCTATTGCCATAGAACATTTGAACATGAGAACTGGTGAATTTTATTATTTCATTATTTAATATGTTCTAAAATATAAAATACTGGATGAAAACGCATCTAGGTATGTCATCTTGGAGACACATTAACGCCTGTTACCATTCTAAAGTTAAACTCTCATATAACAAGGTTTTTGCTGCTATGCCAGTCGATAATGTGTAAATTGATTTCATGGCATTACATGAAACTATTACGTATTTACACAACAAAATAAAAAAAAAAAAATCATTTCTCTTGCAAAATAGCCACGAAAATATTTTCGTCTTTATTTTATTCGAATTACATTCCCTTATTCGACCTAATAAGCGCCCCCTCTAATAAGCGCCCAAGGCGACATTTGTTAATATATTGGCTAGTGAACAATCCCAATTAACCTTCCGGTTGATCAATGTGCACAAGACTTATTTATTCGTGTATTTTACGTGTGTTGTATGCATCCTTAATTATGGGAAATAAAATTCTAAAAAAAAATATATCTGTGGTATATAAACATTTCAGGTTGTCAGCATAAAGGACGAAATTTACGATCTTTCAACTCTCTTGTTTTTCACCAAAATAATATTCTAATAAGAGCCCCCTATTTCTAATTTTGAGAGCGACCCGGGCGCTTATTATGTCGAATACGGTATCATAATTAGTGCTAATCATCACCACATATATTAGTTTCACCAATGTCGGTAACGAAGTCGTGACAGATGCGAAAACAACTTATATACAAGTCTATTTGTTGGAACGGTTCGCCAGAAGGAAGACAGGCCATTAATGAAGTTCTGAAGATACATGCTCACAACTAGCCTTTGCCACAGTCCCTGAACCATATTATTTAAACTTCTGCTTAGCCCTTACTGTAATGACTTAGCTCTCAATGAAGCAAGTCTAGATTTTCCCGAAGTCTGAATCTCCCATCTCACTGGGACTCCTTTTCAATTTAAATGCAATAGTTTGTTTACATCAAAATTGTATAGACTCAGCATTAGTCTAGCTCACAACCTGAATAGAAGCAAATATTAATCTGACTTGCGTTTTTAACAGTTTATAGATAAAAGTCCCTAGTTGTGTCAGAAGATGTTCATAAGGTTTATTGTAACTGTTCTATAGTGAGGCTTATCTACAGCCTCAATTGATGGATAGCTTAAACTCCAACACATCTGCAAACTGTAATTGGTTTTAACTGGTTTAATCAGCTACATTATCGCCCGTTATGGCAACTGGCTTTTGGTTATATCATCTAACATGGCTAATTAATTTCTTAAGTAAACGATCACTGTGGGGTCCTCTATCCTCCGTATTCGACTGCTTGCAAAAATCTGAAAAACTCTAAACGCACAACTTGTTAACATCTATATTTTCTGCTGAATATTTGAAACAGACATGCATATGGCTTTTATTTGAAATGGCTACAGGGCTCCGGTTTGATAAAAGTGTGTTTGTGCGTGCGTGCGTGCGTGCGTGCGTGCGTGCGTGCGCTCTCGGGAATATTCCAGTTTTATGATGGCGGTCTGTAAATAATCAGTCCTGATCAAACGATCCAGTGATTGATACTAAGAGCAACGATTCACGCCGTCGGGGCACGCCTCACACAACAAACTTAGTTTG